CATCCGAAGAAGTGGGTTGTAGCCCACGAAAGCTTATGCTCTAATAAATTTGTTAGTCCCTAAGGTGCCACAAGTACTCCTGTTCTTTAAGGGCAGTTTAAGAGGTTTACATGGTTTGGACCATGAAGTAATACTTACAAGGCTTAAGTGAGGGGTAAACTTCATTGCATAGTTGGGATCATTTAATAATAACATGCCTATGCAATCTGCCTCTCTGCAATTTAGCAGTGTAATATTCTGCATCAGTAATAAACTGGTTAATGTGTATGTGTTCTTTTGCAATGACTCAGAAGTTTATAGTTCACATGCCATGCAAGGGCCAGATAATTCCATTTCTACCCTCACTGCTGCTGTGTAGTTCCATTTGGCCCTGGGTTCAGATTTGTTACAGTATTTTAGGAAGTGGAAACATAGTGCTTTCAAAAATTCACCGATCTGCATGTATTTTATGGAGTTAATTATAACAAAGGAAAAATATAATGAAATAACTATCAAAGCACATCTTTCTGTATTACCAAGCATAGAATGGTTATACCTCAGTAATGAAACTGGACAATAGGAAGGTAAAAGTAAATATTTTTAAAACAATTTTAAACATTTAAAACAACACAATACCTTTCTCATGTTACTAATAAGGTAAACACATTTTCTTTGTACTATTTATGCAGTTTGTTTACTTTTTACATTTAATTCCACTGTGTTTATAGTCGGATTCGCTTTCTCATTTTCAGACACTATTGCATACAGGGCGGGGTGATATTTAAATCCAAATAACGATCTTGATTCTGAGACTGGATCGGCCCACGTGGCCCCATCTGCTCAAGTTGCCCCATTGTGCAAAGAACCATTTGGGCGAATCCCGTTGCAAGATTAGACACTATAACTGTTTTCACTGCAATGAAACATTTCCTGGAGTGCTTTCTGGTCACGAAATCTGATTTGGCACCTGAACGCCCTAACAATTTCGCTGTCTCGCGTCAGGTCAGAGGATAGTTTAATTAATTGATGATGACTGAATATGGAGTGGCTCAAAAATACAACACTGAGGGAGAGGCTAGGAGAGCGGGGGGCCCGGGGGGAGACACGAGGGGGAGAATGGGGCAGAGTGGGGGGTAGCGATTGCCCTGTGCGAATGGGGTGGGGGAGATGAGGGAATGGGAGGAGAAATGGGGTGGAGGGAACGGGGCTAGGCGCACGAAGATGGGCAGAGCGAAGGGCACTAGAGGGGAGAGTTTGGGAGCGAGGGCTGGGGACACAGCCCAGGTTGCTAGAAGCCAGGGGTGTTAATGTGCTAGAGGGGCCACGAATAACGCGGCTCAGGAGCTCCCCGCCCCGAGCAGCGGCCGGCCCTTTATTACGCGCGGCCCGTAGGCTTGGGGCCCGGGCGGGCCCCGCCTCGCCTCGCTCGTCCGCCGTGAGGGGCGGGGGCTGTGTGGAGCGCAAGCAGGCAGTAGGCAGGCGCAGAGCTGCCTTTCCATAGGAGCCGCCATTAGCGCTGGGACCCGGTGACAGGGTCTTGGCGACGGCGGCCGGCGCGGAGCGGGAGTGGAGGCAGCCGGGGTTGGTCCCCGTTTGATGGATCCCCGGATCGCCTGGTTCCAGCCAGAGCAGCTCGGCCCCGCGAACCGCCTGTGGATGCAGATCTGGGAGACCACGCAGGGGGTCCGCAACCTGTACTTCCCGCAGCAGCGGCAGCAGAGCGCTCCCGCCGGGGTGGGCCCGGCCTCCCCGCCCGGCATGTACCGCGTCCCCCGGATCGACCCCCAGCCCGACTTCCTGCCGCTCGAGAACGCCAACAACCAGCACAACCACAGCCGCCACCAGGCCCCGCCGCCCCCGGGGCCCACCGCCTGGGCCCGGCCTGCACGGGGAGCGCCGCCCGCCGCCTCTGCCTCGGCCGCCGGCAACAAGAGAAAACGTGACAACAAGGCCAGCACCTTCGGGTTCAACTACACCATCCTCCTGGGGCCCCCCGAGCAGAGCGGGGCCCCCGCCCCGGGGGACGGGCCAGCCGCCAGTGACCAGGCCCAGCCGCTCACCCCTTGGAAGGGGAGGAACTACAGCCCGGGAGTCGTGGGGTAAGCGCCCCGGCATGGCCGTGAGGGGAGCGGGGCAGGGGGCGATACGGAGCAACTGGGGCGGGGGAGGGTGTTGGTGGGGCAGGGAGAGGCCTAGGGGATCGAGAGGAGGCAGTCGGGGGGAAGGGGGCGGAGGGAAACACAACACATGTGAGGCGAAGCGACCCGTATGGGGCCGGGGCCGGCCGGCTCTTCGGGGGAATCTGCTCCCCTGGCGCCGCCTCTTCTTGCCCTGACGGGACGCACATGGGGTGGGAGGGCGAGCAGAGCATGCTCAGTCCCCATCTCCCGCTGGCCCTGCACAGACACGCATATGTGGGGGTGGGGTCGGGCCTGTTGCACGTCCTCCTGCTGTCATTGCACAGACACCCATATTTGGGGGAGGGGGGGAGGAAGGAACGACTGGTCTGTAACCACCTTCTGCTGTCACACATCAGGAGCATCTTTCACAGGCATCGCTGCCTGCTGCCCTTGCACAGATGCGCACTCACATGGGAGAGGGAGGGGAGGCATGTTACCTACTCTGGCATCTTCTCTTGCTGTCATTGCCCTGAGACAGGCTCACATTTGGGGGAAGGAAGAGTTATTTCAAAGGCATCTCCTCTTGATCTGTTTTCTCTTGCATGCTAGGGCAATAGGCTTGTTAGAAATATCTGAGAGAATTATACAAGGAAAAGTGGAGGGGTATATTGCACAACCAACATGTTATACACCAATGAGCAGGAGTCATCACCTTTTCTGCTCCCAGATATATGTGCAGGATAGGACTGCTAGGAGGCATATTGTACATGTGAGGTTAACGACCATAGTGGATGAAAACCTCCTAATTTGATTGCAGACACTCGCGGGGGGGGGATAGTATCTAATTTCAGAGTACCGTAAAGAAAATCTTCAATTACAACAAAATGTGTGCAGTTCTGGAAATGCCCAGGGAGGTGTCTGTACGAATACTAATGTTGCAGGCACGCCTATATGCAGGAGGGAGGAATTGCCTTGCAGACGAATCCTGTTGTCACTGCATGCACTCATGTTGTGGGTTTCACCCTTGGTTTAATTAATGAATGTCTGCAAAACACTTTGGAGATGGGGGGCGGGGGGAGCTTTAGTATATATATGTTTATTTGTAGAAGCCCTTCCTAATGTCAGTGTGAATGCACATACACATGGGAGGGGTGAGGCATTTTTCTCAGACATCCTCTGTCATGCCTATGGCACATGGTGGTGGGGAAACACTGTGAAAACAGCCTGCTATTGCATGTATGTACACTCGCACCAAGGAGATGAGCATGTTTTTCAGAGTTCTAACTCTTCACATATCTTCTACTAAAAGTGTACATGTGTTCGAATCCACTTGGTGAGACATTTTGCATCGACCTCTTGCTCTCATTGCTTTTATGTCCTGTTGTATTAATACAACAGTCTATGTACTTCACAGACCTTTCCTTCTGACACGGAGTATATTTCCGTAGAGAGTATATTTTCTGAGGTCTGATGGTACAGATATAAGAGTGCCATTTCTGCGGTGCTCTCCAGCTGACCCTGTTTCTGCCTCTCAGAGAGGGAAACACACAATCTGGGGGAATATCCATGTGAGGTTAGTTGTGGTTTGCTTAGACCTCTTCTAACTCTGTGTATGTGTGCATCTGGATGTCTTGTATAAATTGCCTTCTGTGCTGTGCATATATATTTGGTACTATGTCTAATACAGCCCACACCATCTTGTGATTGGTGAACATATGGTGGGTGGGGTAGATGAACAAACATCACCTGCTGTCGTATTCCCATTTTCTATGTGAAGGTGACACTGTTTTCATAGATCCACCTAATGTTATATGCGTGGGCTTAGGGTTAGAGATCCGGGGAGAACCACTTGGACACTTTCTACTTCATGCACACATTCATATACTCTCTGGATGGACATTGTATGATGATGGATGGCTTTTTTTTAGGCTTGTGTGTTGCAAAATATAGTATCTAACTTTGGATAGTTGTCTTTGTAGTTGCAAGACAAGAGCATGTCAGTTGGGGAGTGTCTTTGGCTAGTTCAGCGATATCCCTACTTCAATTCTTTGCACAAAGTGAGGTTTCGTTGCATGGTCCACATGCTAGATGTAATGTGAATGGCCTTTCTTAAGGCTAAGGTGCACTTACATTAAGCAGCCAGCTGTTGAGCTCAGGTGTCTTCCAGGGGCTCATTGAGATGGGCCTATATTTTCAGAAATTACTAGTGCTTTTGGGTGGCTCTGTTTTTGTGTGCCCATCTTGAAATGTCTCAGAGGGCCCTGATTTTCAGAATGTGGTGAGCATTTGCTTTTTCAAAATAAGGCTATTTCAGGGTATCTCAAGTTGGTCACCTAATATTGCTGGTCACTTCAGAAAATATTAACTGTGTAATCACAGGCTTCCTACTCTGTCAATTCTTGTATTGCCCTCTACAGTACTTCTAATCTTTTAGTTAAAATGTTACACTGTAAGTGATGGGATCCTGTATAAAGTTCTGTAGTCCTTGCAGAATGAAATCTTCCATAACCTTTGTGAAGAGTTTTTAAGAGCTGGATAGTTTTAGCTGGGGATGGACAGGCTTTTTTTTTTTTTTTTAAATAAATTGGTCAGAACGTGTCAAACACTTAATTTTGGAAAATAGCTTTCTTTGAGTTTATTTTCTGTTCTGTCATATATTTACCTTGAGATGGGAGGATTTTTTAAAAAATATTTTTCTCCTTATAAATCCAATATAACTTTTCCCACCATTGAAGATCCAGAAAACAATGGATGAGCTTCAGTGAGATATAAGGAAGTTATTACTTAGGCCTTATGGGTGACATCAATCATAACAGCAGAGTTCCAGTTGGATAATCAATGTCACCAGAACCCCCCAGATGAAAGTAATGTAACTCGAACTCAGTGCAGATTGTACTTTTTGTTATATGAATTAGGGGAGTTAGTTGGTTTACAATTTAAATGCTAATTAGATCAAAGGTGTTTTAGTTGCCGTCAGGGATTTAAGAAGATGCTGTCAGAGGTATACAGGCTCCATGTTGAAGCTGTCCTAAAAATAACTCTTTGTACAAAAGGGTTCCAAGACAGAAAAAAATCACAGCTTCTTATCTTTGCAAAGATAACTCCAATCAAAGCCAGGCCATTGGGTTTGCTCGTGATTATGGTACACAAATTATTGACATGAAATTAGAAAAGCCCCGACATTGATGTTATAAAAAAGTATATGCACGTTGAAGCATTCTGTTTATTTTTCACTTTTGTGTTAGTTTCTTTAGTATGAAGTTATGAAATACATAATAATTTTCAGAAAGATTAAATCTGAGTTATTTCCAGAACTCCTTTACTTACACAGTTACCACAGTTGCAGTGTGATATTTACATTCCTCATGGGGTGACACCAATTGCATGTATAACTGCTTGTGCAAAATGGGTGTACAAGTGAGAATACAAACAAACATGTAAGCATCTAGGGTTTCAACATTCTGAAAATCAGGTCAGTAGTTCTTACCTTCAGGGACAGTATAACAGTATATAATATTGATCACTGAAGTTTAGAAGGCTAAATTAAATTAAATTAAACATGCATGTTGAAATATTGGCAATACTTTGGTATACATATTTATCGCTTAGACAGTCATCATGTTCCATCAGGTATATCTGAGTTTCTATTTTGATGTTGGATTTGGGTTGGGAAACATATTTGTGTTAAAATGTTTTACATATGTAATGAGTATAAATGAATATTAAAATGATACACTTGTGATTTGAAATATTAAGATTCAGAAATTATTATGGTGTCTTCAGTGTACTGTTTTCGTACAATTTTTTGCATTATCAAGGCTTAAATATTAAGCATTCAAAAGTCAGTCAATTCTAAAAGTTAATGCTGTTCCTGCAGAGTTAAGTGAACTGTAGTATACATTCTGTGTTATATAGTATATGTTGCTAACAAACAATAATATATTAAAGCTTGCATTTATCAAAGATAAAGGAATAGAAAATATCACATGGCCACATTCTTTTATTCCCATTTTCCATGCTCTGGAATCCTTAATTTGGCAATTTCCTAACTGATCTTGTACATTTCTTGACATTAAAGTGACCTGTGAAATTTACAAGTTGCTTTATACCAGAGATTTAGCTTGCGTATCTTACCTGCTTTTAGACTTTACCAATGGTGATGTTAAAAAGAATAAAACCAAAAACCTGATTGAAAAGTTGTAATCCATATATGCGCAAGATTAGTGGGATATATTTGATACTGGCAAAAACTACTTAAATGAATTTGCTTTGCCACAGTACCCTTAGCAGAGTAGTATATTGTTTTGAGCGATAGTGGCAAAATAGCACTAAAGTAGTCTTTTAAAAAAAAAAATCATTAAGGTATGAAGAAAATTAGATATATATTTTGTAGATTTCAGTGAGTTCTAATCAAGCCAAGCTAAATCTGGAGTTTCTGGTTTATAAAATGTCTCAGCCAACATTTCAGATGCAAAAGAATGGGGGGAGGAAATTAGACTGATCATGGAATTCATTCTGAACTTCAGAGGCTGCTATCACAACTGAAGTTCAATGGAGCTGGTAAAATGTTTACAAAAATGAATCTTCTCATCCTTCTAATTCAGTATCTGATGTTATAATACAGTGGCATAAGAACGAAGGCAGAGAAAGTAAACGTCTGAGTTGGGCAGGACTGTTAGAGCATATTATGCCCGTGCTCTACTCTAGACTGACTGAAAATACACTGCTGGATGAAATACAAGTAGCTGGTCTCTATGTATGGGCTAGACTTAAAAAGATAGTGCTCTGTTACAAACACTACTCAGTAATGTTTCTCAAGACTGAAGGTTGTGAGCTGAAATTTGGACTTCCTCAGTAGCTGTCCTGCTCCTTCAGAATTCACTTGTATTTGAAATGCATATAACCCCAACAGTGGCCACATTTGAGAATGTCTTGCGAGATACATCTTTGTCCAGGCTTTCCACTGTCAGTTCTGAAGT